AGTCTGAGGAGGAAGACACAGCCATGGTGTATCCTGGGATGGAGACAAGATTTCAGTCTCGATCGGCTGAATCAAAAGAGTGCTCTTCTTCTTCCGCCCTAAACCCCATGGCAGAAGTAATTAGGCCCATTCCTGACACTCCTGGGCCACTGGTGGGACCCCCATGTGATGACACACCCAGGTTATATGCCAGTAGCCGAGGGACCCTCAAAGGAAACCCCTCCATCCATCGTTCAAGAGGCTGTCCCCTCTACCACGACAACAGAGATTCTCAATAGACGTGACAGGGTAATAAGGCCAGTAAAACGGTTGACTTATGATGCACCTGGGGTGACTAGTGAGGAACCAATATGTTTAGCACACAGGCTTGTGGAAGCTAAAGTGGGCTATCTAAGGCCCTTTGGAGGGAACCTGTTGAGTTGTTATAATAGGGAGTGTGATTTGTCGGGACGACAAATTTTTGGCTTGGGGGGAGGATTGTAAGCAGAGTCAGGATGAGCTCTACCCTGACATCTGGTGGTGAATTATGGCGAGTGTGGAAAAGAACTCCAGGGGCTGATCTTGTTTGCATAGGCACACCCACTCGCCTGGCATGAAACAACAGCAACTCAAAGTGGTTACTTTGGCTGGTGTGGGATCCCCAGTTTCTTTGTTATTGGGGCAGGAAGAATAAAGTTTTGTTACCCTGATTCTGTGAATCAAGGGCAGTGAACCTATTGTATGACAGAAGGACTGAGTGAGTCCTTCACCATTACCTAAGTAGCACTTGCTTGACAAGGGGCATGGGTTACAAAACCCAGGGAATAGAGAGAGGATGGGGACAGGTATTTGTACCTGATGGTATGGGCCCTCTCTGAGGGGTTGAAACACCAATTGCACTATCTCCACTCTTGAATATCAGAGCTAACTTTGATTCCATTAAAAGTCTAGTTACAGACTGCTGTACTGAATTCACTTTGGGCTAATGGTGCACTAGCACTGGGGCTCCCCTACTATGAGCTGAAATCACAAAAGAGCTGAGATCACTGAGGCTGTGTTAACTAGTAGGGGAGCCTGAAGCTATAATGCTAAGCGGCTGGCGGAGCAGCTAGCAGAGTGGAGCTGAGCGACTCACAGGTCGGTGAGCGGAGCTGAGCGGAGTGGCTGGAGGAGCCGCTAGCAGAGCGGAGCCTTGTGGGAGCGGCCCAAGGGACGGCTGAAGTGGAGCAGAGCTGAGTGGCTCACAGGTCGGTGAGCAGAGTGGAGCAGCTGCCGGAGCAGTTCGTGGGATGGCGGGAGCAGCTCACGGGACAGCTGGTGGAGTGGAGCGGCTCGTGGTGAAGGCTGCGGCGGAACCCCCTCGGCCTCGGATCACGTAAGGTACCCCTTAACGCCCTGTGTGCCCCCCCCCCCCCGAACTCTGGGGCTGCACTGACCAGGGACAGAGACTTTGGGGGGTTGTTGGACTTTTGGGACTTTGGTGATCCTTGGGTTGCTGGTTTCAAGAACCCAAGGGAAAGGACACAGCCCAACTTGCTGGGGTGGTTTTTTTTTGCTCAAGGGTTGTGTTATGAATCCTGTTTGTGGTGTTTTTCCAATTTAATGCTGATGTCGTTTACCTCATGTTATTAAACATTTTCTGTTACACTCAGACTCC